TTGTTTAAACAGTATGCTCGATTTGTGTGCCAACGAGAACATTTTGTTTAGAATTTACGAATGGCTAAAATTGTGTATGTACGCTAGCAAATTCCTTTTCAAACAATGGGAAACAACTCTTATTTTCATATTGCAAATTGCACTGTATATCGTTAATTACAAGTTGATGGCAGTTGATATGTTTTTCATGAAAAAGAATATAATGAAACTTAAATCATCAACAACTGACTGCGAGACTCTCACAGTTGAATTAGGGACAACGCTAATAAACTATATGACAGCAAATCATGAACTCTTGAATTAATTACGAGATGTTATAGTTAAGAACTAAAGGAAAAGAAAGATAATAAGAAAATATATATTTGTTGTTGTAATGACGATTCCACCCTGAATGTAAAGTCACTTCTAATATACATGGAGAGTAAGTTGTACTGGAGTAGTAGGAGATGAAAGTTTCTTTAATGCCAAATAAACAAGATTTTCCCACTAACACATCAAGATACTAGAAAGAGAATGAGTGACTTCTCACTAGAAAATCAATCAGAAGATCAAACCCAAATTTCACCAAAACCTCCTGACTTAATCACAAGCAAAATTCATCCCACACTATTCTACAAACATAAAATATTGAAGGATGAATTCTTTGATACAAATACAAATTCAATGGAAAGGGTTCCACCAATTCCAATTCCAATGGACATCCAACCATCGGAGCAGGATGCAAATTCTCTAGGAGAGATATCACATAAATTGAAGCAAATAATTCTCAAGGAGGAATATAGGCAACACTTCTACAATCCTTGGAGGTACTCCGTTACTATAAAGCTTATGGGTAAGCGCCTAGTGCGCCACTACCTAAAACAAAAAATTCAAGACTTGTGGATGCCAAATGAAAACTTCCCACTAATTGACCTAGGAGAGGATTACTATACTGTCAAGTTTGCTAAAGAGAAAAATATGATCAAAGTCCTTCATCATGGACCTCGGTTTATAAATGGGTTTTTCTTGTCAGTGCAAAAATGGGTGTCACATTTTGTAGCAAGGCAAGCAAAACAAAGCTACACTGCAGTATGGGTACGTCTCCCACAACTACCCACAGGATTCTACGACGGAATCATCCTAACACGAATTGGAAACAGTATTGTAAAATTACTTAAGGTGGATGCTTGTACATCAGCCAAACTAAGGGGAAGATATGCAAAGCTATGTGTAGAATTGCCTTTGGAACAGCCAGTAGAAAATCACATAATGGTTGGACAACAAAAGCAATATATCCTATACGAGGGTGAAAACATACGTTGCAAAGAATGCGGAAGGATAGGGCATACGTGCCATAATTGTTCCTACTCTAAACAACCAATCAAGCAAGGGGAAGAACAATCAACATCGGAAACAATCCAACTAGTGCAAGACTCAGCACAAAAATGGCAGACGGTTTCCTTCCCCAGAAAAAGCAAAGGTAACCTGCCTAAGCGATCCAATAGCAATGCAAGTTCAGGAAAGGTCCCAGGTATTAATGTCCGTATCTATGATGCCTCAAACGGTAAGTATCTCAATACTCAACATCTAAACTATGTTAATAAGAAGCACATTGTAGACTCCATTGATAAGTCAAAAATAAACACGTCTACAACAATCTTTAACAATCAAAATAATTACAGTTTACTTAGTGAAAAACCAACACCTGATGATATGAGGGGTATTGATAATCCATACGAAGAGCACATGGTTTTGGGGGGAAAGGAAAATGAAAATAAGAAAGATACACTTCACTTGCATGATGTGAACCCTACCAATCCCACAAGTGTCCATAACGTGGCACAAAGTAATAGACACAAAAGTAATCCTAATCTCATGTTTAACAATAATAAAAATGATAACACGCTACTAAATACCAACCGGGGTACTACTGGGGAAAAGAAAGTGCCCCACTTAATTAAGTGGGATATAATTACTAGAACTAGCTAGGGCTCAAGGTGGTCTAGGAATCAAAAAGGCCAAGTCAAAAAATTTAGCTGTTCTAGCGAGCCTTGCTTGGCGTATTATTAACAATCCCTCATTCCTTTGGGAAGAAGTACTAATTAGTAATTACGGAAAGAGTAAAAATACTAAATATGCGTCTCATACTTGGATTAGTCTCCTGAAAGGTTGGTCCATTTGCAACCAAGGCATCAGGTGAGCAGTACACCAAAACTCCAATGCTAATATTTGGGATACTTATTGGATTCCAAATATTACACACCTTAGGGGCAGTGTAATTGGCCCTCTAACAACATTTGAGAGCAATTTAAAAATCAAAGATATTTGTGACAATGGCTCTTGGGACTTGGTAAAAATTTCCTTCAACTCCCTCAACATATTATCAGTAACATTAATGTCTTAATTCCCAACAAGTAAGTTAGATCTCCTAATAACCTCCTATGGAGCATAAATCCTAGTGGTGTTTTTTCAACTAACTTTTGTTACAAGTTAATTGACAAAGAACCCCCTCCAAATAATAACTTTAAATGGATTTGGGATTTAAAGTGCCCCAATAAATTCAAGTTATTCATGTGGAAAAGCTACCACAATAGGCTTCCAAGTAGGTCATACCTCAGTAAAATTGGCATGAACATTGACCCTAATTGCCCGATATGCAAAAACACATATGAAACTATAAGCCATATCTTCTGGGAATGCAAAATCGTTTTGGGACTCATTGGATTGCAACATTATTCCTCTAACAAGCATAACACATTGGGTTGACAGGATCAAGAATGCTAATATCAGCCTAATCAATAAGCATGTCACGTGGGAAGATCTTTTTCCGTTCACATTATGGGCTATTTGGAACAATAGAAACCAAAATAACCAAAAGAGTACCAATAACCACATTAGTATTACTAAGGTTATTAATTAAGCCGTTAAATACAAATTATTGACGGCCACTCCTACCACTAATAATTTACAAAGGACCATTAGCATCAAATAACAGGCTCCCCCTAGGGGCTGGTATAAAATAAACATTGATGGTGCTTTTAAAGGTAATAGCCTGCAGGGAGGAATTAGTGGCGTAATTCGATACAACAAGGGACAATGGAGGGTAGGGTACCACAAGAAAACACATGCAGTGGCTCCAACACAAGTAGAACTACAAGCATTGCAGCAGGCACATCAATTCATAGTCAAGGAAAAAATAACCCCAATTGAAGTGGACACAGATGCCACTGAAATTATAAGATTTATGCATGAAGATTATCCCACTTACAATGACTTAATCTATGAATGCAGGTGGTTAATGGAGAAGGTAATGGAGGTAGGGGAGATCGTGGTGAAGCATAGCTTTCGTGAAGGAAGCAGTGTCGCACATCTTTTGGCAAAAGAAGCTTTTAAGCAGCCCGGTTTTAATAAATTATGTAGTTTTGTTTTACCTCCTGAACCTGTAATAGATGCCTATCACAAAGATCAGGAAAGTCATGTTCGTCTTGGGAAAGTATCTACTTTTGTGTGTTGTAATTTGGCTGCCTTAGATAATGACAATACCCTAAGAGACATATCTACAGCTCACCAGGGCACTTGTAATGCTGGTAATTCGCTACCACCCGTACTCTAGTTTAATATAAATAAACATCTTTCTGTTTCAAAAAAAATGATTCCACCCTCAGTAAATTTCGTAGCATGTTTTCTTGAGTTTGTCCTCTTTAAAGATGTAACGTGAAACGAAAAATGTACTTATATTAGTAAGTCACTAACACCGCACGAAGTACTGGAAATTCTAATTAACTTTAGAACAAAAAAGTTTTACTTTTTCTTATTACAAATATTTAATATTTCTCTTTCCTTAATTTAGGTAATTAACTAACATCAACCTCTATCATATTATATGTTTCGAAGTACTGTCATAATTTTTGTCGTTCTAAAGTAAGTTGTGCTTATGAGTGTTTTTTCGTTATATATGATTATTGTGCAATGATAATTTTACAGAATGAAAATCATCAAAAAGTTATTAATTCCTAGAATATCATACTAATATCTTATTGCACATATACGGTACTTATTTCTTTTGGCGTCGTTTACTGCACGTAGAAGTTAAAAGGAAAGAAGTTATATTTTAATGCCCTCTAAAGTTAGAAAAAACAAAATAGGCATATGACACAACCACCTAAATCTTTGGCTCATGGAACGTGCAATTCGAAGAACTCATTGAGAGAGAGAGAGAGAGAGGCGGGGGGGGGGGGG